GAGACCAGAGGTGTCTCTGCAAAGACATCAACCTCTCTGGGATTTCAGGGGCAACCTCCCCCCTCCTCCAAAGGGACAGGAACAGCTGAAAGCTACAGCACCGGTTCAGTCCCTTGTTCTCTCAGGCCAGGACAATACGCCAGTAACAGCTGAACAACGGGCGCAGAAGGCATTCACAGATAAAGGACTGCTTCAAAAAAGACTGGGCAAGACAAAGTCCCAGGCTAGAAGCAGAGCGCAGCAACCCTCAGGCACCCGGCTACCAGGCTCCACCTGAGGCAACCGGATTCCCTCCTGGCTTCCACAGGGCTGCAGCCGGCTCTGCAGGCAGTATTTCATCTGCAGTGAAAAAGCTCCAGTTTACACTTCATTTCACAAGCATATTCTCAGACATAACTGCATTTAAAAAGTAAACGTGCAGTTTTACTAAACTTCAGCTTACAAGCTCTACTGAATGCAGTGGCTTTGCTCTTTCATTTCTCCTGCTTCTTGATGACACAAATGTGTAGGATATCTCTCAAGACTTTCATAAAATCAGAATTCTAAGAAGAATACATGTCATATCTAGACTGACAAAAAAATGAAACAGCATCATTCCTGCCACCAGAATGAAGCATGGCTGACACTCTTTGATCCATGACACACTCACATGGCCTTTAGGTTAAAATAGCACACACAAAACTGTGCACTGTTATTAGCGGAAACTTCTATAAGTATAGAACATGAAATCTCTTGAATCCTAACTTCCAGACTGTACAACCTTGCCACAAAGTAATATTTTACTACTAAAAGCATCATACCTACTTCAGTAGGACCATTAGTAGATACAGGACATTATCCAGCGTGGATCCCAATATCTGTGTACCTGGTTACAGTGTCTGAATCTGACCTTAAGCTCCAATCCTTTTCAGATTTTTATAACCTTCAGTCAACACAGAAACACTATTTAGTTTCCTTCTCACAAAGATCTGGATGCGCATTCATCTGCTTCATTGCTATCTCGCTATCAGACCACGCATCCTTATGCCATGTTCACCCATGCCTGGGGACATTGGTTTCCACAACAGTCTCTCTTCCCACATCAGCGAACTGGGTGTCTGTTTGTCAGGACTTACACGGATTTACTGATCTCTTTGGTTCCTCTGTCGACTCTTCAACACCTCCGACGCACAGCTCAACACCGCAGACAATCTATGTCAAGGGCTGCTCAGGTATCAAATGCACGGCTTCTCAGCGGGTCACAGCAGTCCAAAGACTTCCAGCTAGCCTAGCCCTGGAAGCTCAGCTACTGCTTTTAAACCTGTCACAGACATCTCTACAATCAGCAGTGTAGAAATACTCTTGAGTATGAGCAACCTAGAAGGTAGAACTGAAAACAAAACATGGACAAACTCGCACCATCTGTTTCGAAATGCCAACTTTCCCGGAATAACGTGTGCTTCACTACCTCAAGACATTGCCCAAAAGAAGCACTTCATTAAAAAATCAGAATTGTCTGAAAATGATTTACGAGCATAACAACGTATTTGTTCTGCTGTGTGCAGCTCAGAGCTTCACACCTGCCTACATTCGGTTCAGTCTCTGGGTATCTGCATTCTTCAGTGCTCATCTCACAGCTCCATACAAGGGATTTATGCTTTAATTTGGCAGCTAGGCTTCACTAGCACTGGGGGAAAAAAAAATAGAGAAAGTAAGAAGGGTTGTCATAAGAGAATTAATCCAGATGCAGGATTTGTTTTTACCCTGTTTTGTTTACAATTTTGAGTAAATTAATAGTGGTGTCTTGTCAAAACCAGAAATTAAGGCTATGGCGAGCATTTTAAAAGAACATGAATGGTTAGAAACAAAAGCCCTGTTGACTTCCATGGGTCAAAACCTTTGAAAACCAAAGATGGGTTTTAGTTACTTAAACATAGATATCTACTGTCTTTTTAGAGGCTCTGAGGAATCCTCTAGCCCCCAGTTCCCGATCCAGAAGAACACACATCTCCCGTAGGGTTTGTGTCATATTTGCCAGACCCATGCCGCGCCCACTCTTGAGCACCTCAGAGGACGCTGGCTGCCTCTGTTCAGGCCAGCACGTCACCTATACTTCACTTTTTCAGAGCTGCTATTCTTGATGCTATCCGTAAGAACTGTGACTAAGCAGAGTCCCCAGTAACCAGGTCACCTCTCAAAGTGTCTGGACATAAATGGAGTGATTAATTTCTACAGTTTTAATTGAAACTTGAGAACAAAGACTGTTACAAGCTTAATGATAATAAAAGGCACTTCATCATGGTAATGACATGTATGGAGGAAAGGGAGATGACAACCTGACATTCAGATAGAATACAATAAACTGTTTTCCCGTTTTCATTGCTGATTGTCTGGTTGTGTGTTTTCATCTGCAAGTTGGATTTACATTGCTTGATACCACACAAACAGCTATCTCTGAATGAACTAGTACTCAGCAATATTTGATATGACAAAGAAATGTCTCTGCTCAGAAGGAGAGAAGCTTCTCTCCTTGGTCTGTGGAATAAAGAACCAGGCATAGATCCACTTGTGACAGTTTAGCTGCTGGGATGACTGCAGATTCAGATTTTTTAAATTATTGTTATTACAGAGCAAATTTGAGACTACTCATTAAACTCAAACTCCATTTTTGACGTTGAAGAGTTGTACCAGTACTTCCTTCTAAACTCACACTGCCCAGAATATAAACTTTTCCCTAGAGTTTCAAAGTTTTGCTATTTAAAACAATAATAACTTGGGACATGCTTTTCCACATGAATTTCTTCACGTGGCTCCAGCATCCAAGCGCTAGCTCAGTATCTTGGCACAACACCCATAGTCAACTTAATAGTGTGATTCACACAATACTGTTTCTATCCATCCTGTTACTTCCAAGTACTTCATTTTATTAAAGTCCAGTTGGAGACAGGTGAAAATGTACATAGAGTGCAAAGGAAAAAATACTTTATTGTGAACATGGCATATATGAGACGCATTTCAGAATATACTGTTACATATCAAACGATAAAAAGAAAAAAAGAGTTGACTCATGAGATAAATGACCAGTGCTTGAGACCAATGAAGAATATGCACACAGCTGTACTAACAGCACAATTCTGATACCAATCACAACATAAATTACATTGCTTTTATGATCAGAGGCAATTTTAAACAATGTTTATAAAAAATGCAAATATTGGACCTCCTCCTGCACTGTTGTACATCCAGAGCTTCAGTGAATTTTGCAGGTACGTGGAGGGAACAATGACAGCAAACTGACACTCCACCTCAGGCAGAAGGTAGAGATGGAGGAAACATCAAAAACAAAAGACAAAACCACTGTTCTACAAAAGTAAAAAGGCAAATATTAACCCAAAGAATATTACTATTTTCACAAGAAATCTTAATTGCCGCATCCTGACTCCATTAAAGCCAATGCGAGTCTGTCATTGAGATCAGTAAAGCCTGAATTTCATTCTGAAATTTAAAACATCCTTGCGTTAGTGTAAACATCAGCAGAAACAAGATGTCAGCATCTATACAAGTATTCAAGTGCTGTTCAAAAAAACCAAAAAAACCAGACAGTGCTAACCCAAAATGACAGTACATATCCAAAAGGCAGATAATTAAAAGATGTTTTTTTCCAAATATACATTTTAAAGTATTTAAAACATTAATTTTTTAATATTTGTATATCATTGCTAGGGAAGGGATCTAGGAGAAAAATCTGAATTATTTGCAATGATAAAGGAAGGGCACAGTGTTTGCTCAGATTTATTTGAAACCAGTACTTTTCCACTTTGGAGCCATGACATATACCTGCACATTCAAGCGTGTTTCAAAGCAGCGCTGAGGAGTGGCTGTACTTCATCATTGTGAAGTATAATCCTTCCATTCAAGTATTTCAGCACGATTCCTCATGAGCCATTTACACCATTCATATTTTCAGTAAAAAAGAAACAGAAAGGAAAAATTCCTGAAAAAGTATTTTTTGTCTCTGAACAACCTGATGAGACTTTACATCATGGCAATTTACAGTCATGCATCTGGAGATCCAGAGTCAATACAACTTTTCCATTTACTGTTAGAGTTGTGTCTGTCTTCAAACAGTTCTTTGCTAATGTTCGTGCGGATCTCAGGACTGGATAATAGCTGCTTTATCTGATTCAGTCTGGATAACAGGGCCTGTGTTTCTCTGTGCAAAGCTTCTTTTACTAAGTCTGCTTGATGGCTCTTTCCTAGAGGAAAAGAACAATATAATACATTTTATAGTAACTAATGTAATTTAGAATCAGTAACGTACAGAGATAAAAAGATAGTATCTGGTTTGGACAGTATTAAGTTCTCAACCTTTTGCCCATATTGATTTTTTTTTTTATGAAAAAGGTACTTTGTCAAAAAAATGTAATTTACATCAACAAATGCTACCAAAAAGTAGAGTACAGCGTCACATTTAAGAGAAACTCCTGCTATATTACATACTGTGTAATTGTATCTGCGATGAGTATCTGTAGCGGTAATTTTTAGCTTGGGACTGACTGCTGTTGACTAGGAAACAGCATGTGCCCTCACACGGAGTAAGCAGCCCTGTGGCAGTGCCAAACCCCCGGGCGGGGGGCATCGCTTCCACTATGGCAAGGCCTCTTCCATGGCCATTCATGTCAATCCGAAAGGCAGACGGAAAGGGTTCAGTTTCTCTTCAAAAGCAAGAAAGGGACTCTTGGTATCAAGAGCCAGTGAAGACTGGAGCCACCTGCTTCACCATTCTTGTCTTTTTTTCCACTGTCCATCCCTCCTCCCAGCATCCAACATATCTTCAGCACTGCAAGCGCTTATTAAACCGGTAGACAGCGTCCTTCGATTCAGAACAAACTTTTGATAAGAGACTCACAAAGCAGAGTGCCTGTCACCCAGCACCACTTAGCAAACTTCAGCGGGCAGCTGGGACGTGTTTTTGCGGTTATTCTCAGTGGGATGTTTGCTCCCGGGCTCCTGCACAGTGCTCACTTGCTGCTATCGTTGTCACTCTCATGCTTACTGCCGCTTGCTGCTTCTTCAGTTTTCACGGGGCTCCCATCAGTCTGTCTGGTTTTGTTTTGCGTTTCTTCCAAGTACTGCTGTACAGCCTTCAGCACCGCGTTCTCCACCAGCCTCTTGCTGAGGCTCACCAGCTCTGCATCGTCTGGCTCTGCGGCATGTTTTTCACCTATGCGTCACAACAGACAAGAGAAGGAATTCATTGCCACGGACAGACAGCAGCCGCAATTGTATCGGGAGACTCTGTCTGAGCTGGGTTTTAAGTCACTAACTGCCTCTCCCTGACTTTCCTCCTCCTCAAGCTCTGAATCAAAAGTGTTTCACAAAGATGTATACAGTATATCGGATCAAAAATATTTCACTGCTCATCTTTACTGTAACACTCCAGTAAAAGCCACTGGCTACCACTACGAGCACCCACTCACACTAGAAGCGTAAGCGTGCAAATGCAGTTTCTTCTGGCCAACAGTCACCTGTGCCACCCGGGCAAAGAGGAAGAACACAGCACACGATGATTTACATTTTAGCAGCATTCTTAAATTTAACTGCCCACGTTTTGTGATTTGGTTAATAAATATAAAATCTTCTATCTATTTATTCATTGCTTGTAATTCAAGAGTTTCTCAGGGTAAAAATGACTAAATGACTCTAAGTGCAGATTAGACTTTTTTTTCTAAATGAAGTGTAAAATTTGGAAAATATACTCCCTCCCTGTGTCTCTTCTGTCTTCTAACTTAAAGCTCTGACATTGAAAGAATGCAAGTTCCAGCAGTCTATTCTTAGATACCTGCTGATAAAAGCAAGATGTTGGCATTTCCCTGCTGTGTTAAGAGTTCACATATAAACATACACAACAAAATAACTGTATACATAGTCAGGACTCTCATACATCATTACATGTATTTTGAAATTGTACTTTTCCATGAATCATTTTCCTCATGAACTATATACCCTACTACAGCATCCTCCTTTCATGAGGAATGCAACCCAGGAAAAGCTGATTTTATTGTCCGATTTCCACTGGCCATGTAATTTGTCACTTTGCAATTTCTTGCGCTAGGCAAACAACCGTTTCCCTCCATCTATATTTAAAGGTCATACTTTTGATGTCCTCTTCTGGAGTTAGCGTTCCGCAACCAGTAATAAGAGGCTGCTTAGTCACACACATCTGGTGAAAGAGATACTATTGTATGCTCTTAGCACAACGCTTTGTACTGTTCAATTATCTAAATTTGTTCTTTTTCATATATGTAAATTTATTCAAGTTTGCCAGCACATATAGATTATAGTTATAAAAAACTTTTTCTAGTCTTCCTAGTGGATTGTACAACCTGGGAGTGATTTCACTGATAAAACATAATTCATATGGGGATTCGAGGATTTTAATTTTCAGAGGCAGCACCCTTATTAGCTGTTAATGTGAACATCCCGCTCTGGAACAGCTAGACACCCCAAACTCTTCCAGTTCTGGGCCTCCACAGCACCGTACTGTGGGGAAGGAAGAACTACACTCTCCAGCTGAAGAGTCAGGCTAGACCTGGGTAAAGCATTTCATTACATTTTGGGAAAAGTTTGGGAAAATACTCTAAAAAATATTTTAAAAGGCAGCTATGGGAATAGTTTTTATTTTTAAAAAATAAGAGAAAACATTAAAAACAGGTTTAGCACTTCCAAGAAGAAACATTTTAGGTTAACACATGAGCCTGAGGGAGACAGGCACTATTACCCAAACCGCTCCAGCAGCTACATAGTCCACGTTCCCTGGCCCCACTGCTTTCCATGTTGCTTCGCTATCTGTAAATCCTGGGTTTAAGACTACCCATTAACTTACTTAGAGGAGGGACTCAATTCAGGCTCTTAGCTCTCAGGAGACCTAAGATATGTATGAGCAGCATCTCCTCTCCACTTTTATGAACTGATCCCACATACTCCTTTGAATGCACCCCTTTGATTCCAAATTTCCTTTGCTTTTGTTAAAGACGCTCGACAAAACATTTTGCTTGTCCCAGTCTATTTATTCACTAGAAAAAAAAAATAATACTGTGGTTTCCAGCTGGAGAGTTTCTCAGTTTTCAGAACTGCTAGTGAATCACAGAAATTGTTACTCACACAGCTCTAACGATCTGTTCAAACAACTCTGAACAAAATCAATGGGAAATGTGGTGCTCAGCTACTCCGACACTTGACCCTATAGTACTTAATATGCAGAATATGACTAATCAGTCACAGAGGCCTCCAGATACCACAAAACAGTAGTGATTATATTTACTCAGAGTATAATTTTACTTGTAGTACATTATGTATTATTCTTTCAGTCTAAAAAAAGGACAGACCTCTCCTCATTAATATTTTCTGCAAAACACTTCTCCTTTGCATATATACGTATCAAATCCATATATCTACTATTGCATTTCAAACTTCAGATTAAGTAGATAGCTCACTGTAAGTAATTTCTTAAGCATGAAAAAACTCAGACTACTTAAAATGAGCCTTTTAAAAGTATAGCTTACATAGCTACAGAATAATGTTTTGGGTTTTTTTCGGTTTTGATGTTTTGAGTCATTCACGGCTCACCAACAGTCTGGAGCTGAGCCTATGGCACCTCCCAAGTGAGCTCTGCGCTCCCACAGGGAAGACCTACACGGGATCTGACTGATGCTTGAGTATGAAAGCGTGCACATCCCCGTATGAAGAACGTCCTTGGACTTATCTGTCCGGCCACCTTGGTGGACTGGCACATGATTCACTCATGCTCTGTTTACATTCTCAAACTCCCTAAGCAGGAGTTGCATGAGTGTCTGTGCAACGCTGAGGTTCACTGGCAAGGCAGTTGTATGCTATTATCTCATTCCTATTCATGACTGCTCACAAAAAGAAATAGGTCACATAACTGGTATTGATCATCTCTATTTACTTGAATACTTAACACACATATATGTCCTGCTTATATCTCTCTCTCCATGCTGCATCTGCTGCTTGACTATTTCTTAGATGTTTACAATTCCTTTGCAGCAGGCAAATGCTTCTTTGCATAGACTGTCTTACATTACTGGAATTATCAGAATATCAGTAAAAAGTCATTGCAGATATGAATGTTTTAGATTTAAAAGGGAGGTTTAAAAATTCAGAATTGCTTTGTTTGTAAACTCTGCTCTGAAAAGGGAACAGATACACCACGTGCACTGTATTTGCAACTATGCTGTGCCTCTCAGTATGGACTGTGCCACTACTTTATCTCTGTCCCTGTGAACAAAAAACTTCCACTGCTGCCTTCTGCATGTGGCTCACAATAAAATATTCATTTTGTTTATCCCAGAATTCTTTTCTATAATTTTGAAAAGACGAAAACAAATTCATACTCGGTGAATGTATCCCAATGCATCCATGCTAAGCAGTGCTTTTTATTTCCAAAAGTGAAGCACACCTATCATCCTGAAATGACCACCATTTTTTACAAAAGGGAACTATCAACTGCACAGAATTATTCACAACGGGCTTTATCATCCTACAGCATGCTGCTAGCAGTTATGGATGTGAATCAGATCCCTGCAACCAAATCCATGTTTGGATTCAAATTCACTGCTGTATCTCTCTACTGGACTAGATTTACTCTCCAAGTCTACACCCCCTTACATTTCACAAGACTGTGATCTGGATTTTGAAATACTGCACTGGAACAAATCAGATTTTGTGGTCTTGGTACAGCTTTTTCATGGTCTTGAAACAACGTGGTTTAGAGTCCATGTGGATATCTCAGATTTGGAGAGAGGCAGGACAGTTACTTGGATCCCTCTCCTGTTTATACTACTAGTCCATTAACTGAAGGAACCAACAGTGGATGCCTTTTACAAGAAAAGCCAGTTTTACCAGCCACGCTCCAAGACAATGATCTGCAATCCTTGCCTCATGGCCTCAACAAACTGGGTTTTGTTTTTGCCTCCAACAACCTTTCATCACAACAAAATAATGCCAACATGAACATGGGGCAAATTATAAAGGAGACGCTTGGTATTTTGAATAGGTGACTGAGACCAGCTGGGAAGGCTGTACTCTGGCAGCAGAGGTTACAGACTGCACCGTTGGGAGGGCTGTGGTAACAGACATGCCTCCGTTTACCCTTTGGTTCATCAGTTTACTACTATTGTTTTTACAAAATCTAGAAACAAAAAGACCATGAAGTACTCAGGCAATCTTTCAATTGTTCAGAATACCTTCTGAATGCTGAAAGCTTCATTTTTCTACTTACACTGTGCCTCTCACACCAAAAGGGCGAGCCAAGTCACTGTTGCAAACACTCAAAAGTTTTCACCACAAGACTGCCTTTCAATAGTGACTCCTGAGTGGCTCCAGCTCCTAGTAATCCCTTACTATAAGATAATTGGTATTACTGGCTCCGTACAGGGGCAAAAAAGTTTTGCTGGTATGCAGTATAGCGGGACTGGAAGGGAAGGAGACAACTACCCTAACTACTGACGGACTAAGAAACCTTCAGCAGATGACTATCAATTATTTCTGCATATGGTGGGGTTAGAGAAAACAAAGAAAGGTAAATAAAACAACTGCTGGGCAGATTTCAGTGTGTGAATTCATACAGTTTGTGACATCAATGCCTGTGCCTGTATCACGGTTCACAATTTCTATGTTATCACAAAAAAACCTAAGAGTGAAGACATAATTTACACCCACAATGCCTAGGCAGACGAAGACTATTGCAAGGCTGCCATGCCCAGCTGCAGCCTGTGGAAGCATCTAGTTTTTGCTACACTAGACCTTTGGGTCTGCAGAACCTGATTCAGAATTAAATGTCATTGACTTCCACGGGAATCGTATGAGATTCCCACACCTACATACTGAACTGCAATGTCCTATTCATCAGACCACTGTGCTGAACTTTTTTTTTTACTGAGAACTTTCTGACAAATTTGGTATGCCACATATAAATTGCATTATAGCATTTCAGAAATACCATGGCCCCATGCCCTACAAAGACAGTGAGTCCCCAGTCCGTAATAAATTGAATAACAAGCTATAACCAGCCACCAGACCGTATCGTTCCCACCCTTGCAACAGACTGTGAATGAGCCAGCACATTAAAGATCATGGTTTTGAAGTAAGGAACACAAACATGACCGTGTGCCCATGTCTAATCAACACAATACGCATAGACAG